ACCTGTAGCCACCTGTAACAAGGAACAGTGGACAGGGCAAGCAGCAGGCTGACAAAAAGCCTGAGAAGGATGAGGCTAAGGAGGAAGATACTTCAAGGAATAAGGGCTTTGAAGGGTTACCACATACACCAAGGAATCTGCAGTGGATTGTGCATGACCAGAGCAGGATGCATGTACAGAAAACACCTGAAAAGAACCCTAAGCTAACATCTCTAGTCGATCTTTGCTCTTTGCTCAAGCAGGATGGGAAGTCTAAGGCACAGTTGCTGGTAGCCTAGCTAAATGTTGAAGGAGTGCCCCAGCCCAGAGATAATCTGCTCAGAAAAAAGGGAGTTTGGTTTTTGTTGGTGGTGGTGGTTTTGGTTTTGGTCCCTGGCATTAAAGTAAATCTCTATCGGGATTAGGATTGGAGATAAAAGAATCCCCAACAGGATTACTGCAGAGATAACAGAAAAAAGACTTCAGTGACCACACAGAACAAGGAGTACAGTTTATTTTTTGAAAAAATATTTTGGAAAATTCAATAAAAAAATGGACAACTGCAGCCCACAACAATCAACAACAGCAAACCCTGGGGATGGGATTTCCAGAGTTACCACACTGTAATATTCAAATTGTCCAATTTACAAAGAAAAATATAAAGCATACAAACAAACAGAAAATTATGGACCATTCACAGGGAAAAAAATTGGCAGAAACCATTCCTGAGGAAGCCCAGATATTGGACTTACTAGACAAAGATATTACATATTTTAAGTATGTTTAAAGAGCTAAAGGATACCATGGACAGAGAACTTAAGAAAACTGGGAGAAAAGTGTATGAACAAATAGACACTATCAGTTAAGAGACAAAAATTATTGTAAAAGGAACCAAACTCCTTCTTTAAAAAGAAGTTGTGGAGCTAAAAATTAAAATAGCTGAAATAAAATTTTTACTGGAGAGGTTACACAGCAGACTTCACCAGGCAGAAGATGGAATCGGCAAACTTGAATATAGGACAATTGAAATTATCCAGTCTGAGTAGAAGAAATAAAAAGGAATAAAAGGAAATGAAAAGAGCATAAAGGACCCATAGGACACTCTCCATCAGACTAATATTTGCATTATAGGAGTCCCAGAAGGAGAAGAGAAAAAGGCAGAAAGAATATTTGAAAAAATAATGGCCGAACTCTTCCCAACTTTGTAGAAAGAATGAATCTACATATCCACAAAGCTGAATGAATTTCAAGGAGAATAAACTTAAAGAGATCCACACCAAGATGCATTATAACTAGCAGCTGAAAGACAAAGGCAAGCACAGAATTTCGAAAGTAGCAAGAGAAAAGCAATTCCTCAAGTACAAGGGATGCTCCATAAGATCAACAGCTGTTTTCTTACTTGAAACTATGTCATCAAAAGGCAGTGGGATGACATATTTAAGGTTCTGAATGAGGAATTATGCCAGTTAGACGGTAGAGTAGGGAGACTTACCTCTCACCCTCCACAGAAATGCTGATTTAACAATAATATTGTTATCAAAATACCGTGAAGAGACATTCAGGATCCAACTAAGAAGTAGAAGCAGCCTAGAGGAGCACAAACTGAGAAGCAGTCATATTTATACAGGTAAGAAAAGCAATTTCAATTTACTCACATCAGTCCCTCCTCCAGACAGGCTTAGCTCCACCCCAAGAAGACTGCCTCAAGCCCATGATTCTCACATGGAGGGATGGTGAGGTTGGATTGTGCACAAGGCCTCAGGGCCTCCTAGGGTGCCTTCTGAGGAACTGGTTTCTATCTTGCCTCGTACTGAGCACTGAACAACCAAAGATCTTGGTCCCTTGAGACAGTTAGAAACAAAAAAGGGGAGTGCATCCCCTTATAGTCAGAATTTTTTTTGTCGTGATTGTGGAAAAGCAGAGAACTGATACTTTTCCTCCGGAGGGAAGGAAGGACGCAAAGGGGCTTTGCTCCCAGCCCTAGAGTGACTAACACTGAGCACTGCTGACAGTGAAAGTGTATCCCAGTCAAAAACAGTCCAAGAAGATGGGGAGAAGTAGCTGCTTCTTCAAATGCACAGACAACAAAGCAAATCTACAAGGAATATGAGGAATCGAGAAAACACAACACAAAGGAAGAAAAAAAATCTCCAGTAAACGTGAGAGAAATGGCTATAATGAGTTGTAGATCACTTTTTTTTTTTTTTTTTTTTGTAGATCACTTTTAACTCTAGTAAATATAAAAGTTAAAAGACAAAAGTATTTTTTAAAAAAGAATTATGACTACAATAATGTGTTAATACATACACAAGATAAGCTGATGTAAGTTGTCACATTAACAAGCTAAAGTGTAGGGGAGGGAGAAGTAAAAGTGCAGTTCTGGGATAAGATCAAAGTTAAGTTGTTATTAGCTTAAAGTAGACTATTATCACTAGGTTGTTTTATGTAAACCCCATGGTCAGCAGAAATAAAAACCTGTAGTAGATACAAAAAATGTAAAGAGAATCAAAGCATACCACTACAAAAAATAATCAGAGAACACAGAGAAAGACATTAAGAGAGGAAGAAAGGAACAAATGAACTGTGAAACAGCCAGAAAACAATTAACAAAAGGGAAATAATAAGTCTTCATTATCAATAATTACTTTAAATGTAAATGGATTAAATTCCCCAGTCAAAACACACAGAGTGGCTGAATGGATTGGAAAGAACAAAATCCAATCATATGTTGCCTACAATAGACTCACTGTAGCTTTAAGGACACACATAGACTGAAAGTGAAGGGTTGGAAAACAATATTCCATTCGAATGGTAAACAAGAAAGAAGAAGTGGCTTTTCTTAAATCAGACAAAATAGATTTTAAGTCAAAACCTGTCACATGAGACAAAGAGGGTCATTATGTAATGATAAATGGATCAATTCATCAAGGGGATATAACAAATATAAATATATATGCACTCAACAGTGGAGCTCCTAAATATGTAAAACAAATATTAACAGATCTGAAAGAAGAAATAGACAGCAATACAACAACAATAGGATAATTCAGTACCCCATTTTCAACAACGGATAGATCACCCAAAAGAAAATCAGTAAGGATATAGCATACTTGAACAACCCTGCAGACTAAATGATCTTAACAGATATATAGAGAACATTCTAGCCTACTGTAGCAAAATATACATTCTTTTGGCTTTTTTTGTTTGTTTGTTTGGTTGTTTCTTTTTGCGGTATGCGGGCCTCTCACTGCTGTGGCCTCTCCCGTTGAGGAGCACAGGCTCCGGACGCGCAAGCTCAGCGGCCATGGCTCACGGGCCCAGCCGCTCCGCGGCATGTGGGATCTTCCCGGATCAGGTCACGAACCCGTGTCTCCTGCATCGGCAGGCGGACTCTCAACCACTGCGCCACCAGGGAAGCCCCAAAATATACATTCTTAAGTGCACAAGGAAAATTCTCTAAGATAGATGAAATGTTAGGACACAAAATAAGTCTTAACAAATTAAAGGAGACTGAAATCATATCAAGCATCTTTTCCAACTAAAATGGTATGAAACCAGAAATCAGTAACAGGAGAAAATTTGAAAAACTCACAAATATGTGGAAATTAAACAATACACTCCTGAACAACCAGGGAGTCAAAAAAGAAATCAAAAGGCAAATCAAAAAATATCTTAAGACAAATAAAAATGAAAACACAACATACCAAAACTTATAGGATGCAGTAAAGCAGTACTGCTGCAGTGTCCACACACACTAACATTTACACGTTCAAGGTTTACTGGCATCACAATGCATCAGCCCAAATGGCAAAGCACCCAGATAAGCACCCAGATCTTCCAAGGAAGATCAATGTAGAGCAGCCACCACGCCAGGAAGATCATAACACTCTGTGAAATTCAAGCTCACAATGGAGTAGCAGCTTCATATTTTTTGCATGATTTATAGCATTTCTGGTTTCGGCCAAATGTGTAAAACAAACCTTTTCCAAGTTATATTTTTTAATTGGTCCTTAGGGTCTTCTTCTGGCTCTATTTTAATTCTTAGGGAACAATCTGCTACCTAATAAAAGTTGCAAACATATGACTTTGGAAGATGCAGAACAATAAATAATAAGAGAATTTCAAATAGTTTATTATTTGGGTTACATTTAGGATAATTAAAGTCACATAGAAAAATATAGATGAAAGGTAGCATTCCCAGGAATCACTGCAAAGGCCAATCCAAATTCATTATCTTTCTTGTGTCTCCACTCCTGGCCCCCAGCTTAACTTCCTGACACTTCTGAACTCCCCCTTGTGGTTCACAACCCAAATATTCCCTTGCCCCCCCGCCCCGCCTGCTTTATTTTTCTCCATACCATTTAATTTTATCGTTCTACATTTTACTCGTCCATTTGTTTGCTTTTCTGTTTTCCCTTCATGAGAAGGTAAATTCCATAAAAATGAGGACCTATATATATGTTTCACTGCTGAACCCCAACACCCACACAGTAACTGGAACACTGTATGTTTTTAACCAGTATATGTAAAATATAAAGCAATAATTTCACACTGGAGATTTATCACAAAATGTTATATTTGTACATATACTTATTGATAAATTAATATACAATGTATGTTCAGTTTTATCTTCATCCTATTGTAATATTCTACAACCTAATATAACAGAGAATGAACATTTGTGAAGAGGATCTTGAGGCACCAGAGAGGCCAAAATCATTTCTAAATAATAAAATACTGAATTTGATTTAGTACTGATTTTGCTTTATCATGTGCTACTTATTTAAAATTTGTACGTATTAGTATCCTTAAGGTAATTCTGTTAGGTTATTACATTAGCCTAAATATTTACTCCCCAATCATTTTAAATAAATTTATTATTTTAAATCTGATTGTAAGAAATTTTGAGGCTGATAGGTGATTTGAGATGGAGTTTGAATACAATCTTTAGACTTGAAATGTACAGGTAATTGGACTGAATTGAATTCTAAGTGGAAACGTTCCTGGGAATATTTTATTACCTTTTCGTATGGTAGGCGTGTCACTGTCTGCAATCAATTGCAAGCAGTCTTGAGTGACTGAAAAGCAAAAATATATCATTTTAGCTACTTGAATAGAAATAGTAAGGGAATAAAGATGACCAAGAATACAGAGCTGTAAACCCACTCTTCCAGTGACACCAAATCAGTTATACTTTCTATATTGCTTGTATGCTCTTCTTAAAATTACTATAGGAAATGTGCCCACAGGTTCTTAATATAACTCGTACTTGAAATACAATATGTACTTGAAATTCAAGCTTTAGAAAAACTCTATATGCTGTTGAAATACAGTAAGTATATTATCTGAACAGTTTAGCTTAACTTATTCTAAAATGTTATGCCTGTATAGAAAGCAAGTTTAGCCACTGTCATTTGTTTTTCAATTCTCTCAAATACACAAGCCAAATTATCAGATTACTCTAAAATGATTTTTTGTTTTAAAAAATCTAACATTAAGTAACAACTCACTAGTACTGAAACTATCACTATTAACATTACTGAAAATAAAAATAATTGCTAAAATGCATTGAGCTAATATAAATCCAGGCAACTTCACAAAAATCCCAAGATTTACATACTGGAAACTACGTCATGGAAAGTGTAAACAACCTGTCCAGTCCCCAGGGATAGAAAGTGACAGGGCCAGAATTTAATCACGCCTGTTTCACTGTGGAACCAAAGTCAGGCTTTTGGTAAAATGTTTTGGACTAGAAAGAGAAAGAGAGCTATAACGTCTTTTTAGGATAAAATGGAAGATTTCCCTGACACTGCATCACCAGTAAAGCTTCTGGGAAGCATCAATTCACATCACACATCACATACAGGATATAACCCAGAGTATTCCAAAGAATACATAACTACGCTATTAAATAAAGACAATGCCTTCGGGTAACAGCAAAATAGGTACACTGCCTGTAGGAAAAGGAAACAAAGCAGCAAAGATCTACGGTAAATATGGAACATGAACCTAAGTATATGCCTATTTTAAATTAAGAAAATATTAGTTTAGGTCGTTTATTATATAGCAAGTATTTTATTCTGCATTGAAGTAATGCTTTAAAAACATGCTTCGCCATGTATACACTTCAGGAGCTTATTAACGCGGTGGAGAGTTCCTGCTGCAAGTCACTAATGGAAAACGTGGAATAACAGATGTAATAATTATGTAATATTCTGAAGCTGTGCAAATGCATAGGCCTAAAAAGAATACTGTTACGGGCAGTGATCACATATGAAAATCTGCTAAGAAACTTCCCTGGTATTTAAAGGTAGAACTATAATGATAAAAACTGCAATTCCTTTATAACCACGAGACTTTTCTAACACATTTTTATGTTAATGTGATGGTTTGGATAGGAGCACAACATTTTGGCCACTTTGTGGTTCTTTTATTGACCTGGAAAACAATGGCAGCGATGTCTATGCCACAGGGAAATGTGACTCATTACTGCAGTTACTATGGCAGACCCTCTGCCACAGAAAATATGGAAAAGCATCGTAACAGGCAGAATAGCTGTGAATAAGGACAGCTTGAAAGAAAGGAACCACAGAACATCCAAAGCAGCCAAAGTCTGAAAAGCACGAGGTCTAGAGTCACCATATTAAACCTATTTTTCTAACAAACACTTCTTGAGGAATTACTACATACAAGGCACCATGATAAGTTTTGTGAGGGATGCAAGGGCCAATCAGAGCATGAAAAGCTCTAATCTTTCCTCCACAATGAAAAAGAAGAGGATCTTGACGAAAGTCAAAGTTAAATTTCCAAATTTTCCATCTTTCCTTTGTCATGTGCATGCATATTGTAAAGATTAAGTGAGATAATACATCTGAAACATTTAGTACTGTACTTGGGACATAATAATTGCAAAGTCAGTCTTGGGTATTATTAGTGGTATTGTTCTTAGTAGCATCGAACCAAATAAACTGGGAACACAAGGGAAGGACATTAGGAGAGCAAGAAGACCAAGTGAAGCTGATACAGGGCCCAAGGAAATACTAGAAATACTATTTCTTGTTCTTTTTTTGGCCACACGAGGCACCTGGGATCTTAGTTCCCCAGCCAGGTATCCAACACTTGCCCCCTGCACCCCTGCAGTGGAAACGCAGAGTCTCAACATCTGGACCGCCAGGGAAGTCCCTAGAAATACTATTCCAATTAGCCCTCTCCTTGACTGTTTCCACAAACTCCTGTAGGAGACTTACCTTTTCTATTTAGACAGAAAGGGGTTTACCTAATGAGTGCTGCCTGGAAACTACCAAACTGATACGAAAGTATCTGAATTTTAATCTCCAAAGCCCAACTAAAACTTGGCCACAACCTACACACTGAAAAACTATGGTCTATTCTATCACACAGTAGCAGAAATCTAACTTTCAGAAGAAAATACACTATGGAGAGAAATTTTTATTTCATGAAATACTCTTCAGAAAAGAAAATGAGATATTAAAATGACAGCTCAAGAGTAGTGTTTGAATTATACTCACTAAAGCTAGTGCTATTCATTAGTTTTCCTTATTCCAGAGAAAGTCACTGGGCTTTTCAAGGAGATAAGTTCTTGGAAATAAGAACAGGACTTTCCATCCTGCCCTCATTAGATGCTGTTCAGGTCCCATCAACCCTATCAGTGCTACTTACCTCTTCAGCTTTCAACTCTTCCTTTTAAGGAAATTTGATATCTATTATCAACTTATCTCCAGTTCAGTCTTTGAGGACTCTCTTTCCAATTCAACATAGATCTGATTTTAGACTATAGATTATTGCTCACAAAAAGTTGGCCAAGAGAGCAGTACTCTTTTTGTATCTCCCAATAGCATAGATATCCAACCACAAGAGTTTTGCGAATGCATAGTCTAATATAAGAAACATAATATTGATAACAATTGTAGTATTAATTGACTGTGTTTGGTTTTCAAATGCCTTTCACACATCTTTCCTGCTGCTACAGTTGAGGGGAATTATACAAGAGTTTGAGAATGGTTTATCTTTTTAACTAAGCAAGGCAGTAGCATACATTAAAACATTTCTGTGTCAATGGGGAGACACATATTTCTAAATATATATATATGTATATATATCTCATATTATAATGATGTGAGAACCACAGATAATTAATCTTAAGTACATTTTTACAGCATAAGAAAATTTACTCATAATATTAAACCATGTGAAAAATATTTCTAAAAACAAAACATTATATTGATGACAAAACTAGCTTACAAAAGAGAATTCCTAAAATAAGAACTTTTAGACAAAAGTCATTTTCTATTGCTCAATATTTGATATAATAAAATCCAACCAACTTCACAATTAGAATAGTGGTTGGACTGATTGAGATTGAAAGCCACCTTTTAAAGTGGCTTTTAATCAGGAAAAGAGATTTATAGGTTTATGGAATTGCTAATATCTGTTGTATTGTTTTCTGCGTTGGAACCAAACCTTTTCAGACTGGAATCCAGTTTATTATACATTATTTCCACAAAGCTAAATCTAATAGAAACTACCATAAATAATGCAATTATTGCAGATTATGCGTGGTTCCCATGAAAAGCATCCCACATGAGCTTTTCCCATTACTCGTGTCCTGTCCATATTACCTACACCCACTAACTCCCATATTTCTCACTCATCTCATTCAAGAAGCTTCTTCTAAGCTCTTCAGTCTGAGTGAGACACCCTTCCTTCATCTTCTTTTATCTTTCTTCTTTTTTCTGTTGCCTTACTTATTACATTGTACATTTTTTCAAGAATGACGACTCTGGAGATGATGCCTCTCTTCATTTCTGTAGAGCTTTCATTCAGTACATGGAAGCCATGACAAATGTAGGAGTTGGAATTTTCTTGAGCTAGTTTTGAATAAATCATCAGTGGCTGGAATAGTTAGTTAAGAGAAATCCCTTACAGATCTAAATATTGACCTAATGCTGGACATAGATTTATGAAGAAATCAAAGAAATCATGGTTTTAGGATAAACATTTCTACTGGAATGGGAAGACAAAATTTTAGGGGTGGAAACTGGATTATAAAGTTTTATTTGATCAGGGATAAGCAGTTTGTGTAACTGGCAACATTTATTAAGTTACTTATTGGTAACTTACAAAAACAATGAATTGAGAGAGTTTTGAAAGAATTTCTATAGTGCTAGGTTGAGAAGTCTGTATCTGACTTACTAGAAAATAGAAAAAATATTAGGAATTCTTAATCTTGAGAGGGGCTTGCCTGATACATGTTGTGCCTGAGAAAGACAATACATGTGTCTATGTGTAGAATGAACTGCTGTAAAGGGAGAATGAAAGCCAAGGTTCAGCTCTTGACTGGTAATATAATATGTGGGTGATTTGGTCTAAAATGCAATTACATAAGTGAAGCACCCAAGACAAACTGTGAAAAAAATTTAAAAGTTTCTGACTAATGAGTATATGTGCTTGAAGGAGAATTAAAAACTAATAATAAAAGCACGTTTTCAATTCTGGGGAATTCACAAAGATGGCAGCACTATAATGGCCTTGGGGAAGTGAGAAAGGGGTGCTGAATTTTTGGAGGGCTTGGAATGAAGCTGATAAAGTAAAAATAAATATAACGGATAGAAGTAAAGAAATATATTTGAAGATTTTCTATGTGTATATGTGCACAGAAAGAGTCTTGATGTGAACTGGAAGTTGCCATGTACCACTCATGATATAATCATGTTCTATGACTAAAGTAAGGCAGGATATGTAAGATGGCAGCCCTCTGGATAGCCTCGTAAGAGTAAAGTAACAAAGACAAAAAACCCCCCCAAAATACCATCTTCATCTAATGTTGTTTAATTTTGCAAATGATCAAATATTTTAACTTAAAATTACCAATTTTATAGTTGTCATCATCTCCACAGGATATGTTTTTTCTTCGGTCATGACTTCTTTGCATTATTTTAGGGTATTTCACTTTATTTATTTATTTTTTAATTTATTTTTTTGCGGTACGCGGGCCTCTCACTGTTGTGGCCTCTCCCCTTGCGGAGCACAGGCTCCGGATGCGCAGGCTCAGTGGCCA